TATGTATTATTTATTTATTTAATATTCTAGAATTATAAAATAATATTAAAATAGAATAACTGCTTAATACGCCCAGGTTTTGTAAGGCTTGAGGCATGTCCACCACTCCTTGTTAGGACTTACACCTTTTAGAACCCTAGTTGTCGCTTAGACCTTTTTTAGTTAGAACTAGCTATGTATCTCTACCTGGATTTATTTTGCTAAATATTACGAAGCCTAGACTTACTGAAGCAACAGTTTTCACTTTTTAGAATAGAACAAGCTATTTAGCAGGCTAAATCTGGTAGATTATACCTTCAGAAAATCTAGGCTTGGAAATATTTAGTCTGGCAGATTATAACTTCAGAAAATCTAGGCTTGGTAATATTTAGTCTAGCAGATTATACCTTCAGAAGTTTCTGTCAGGAAGGTTATGCTCAAGAATATTCAGACGTGCCACTGATATTTTCTGATATAATATATATAGCAGGAACAAGGTGCTGAGTTCATCCAGTTACATTGGTGCTCTCCAATCGATTAACTAAGTTCTTGATCAAAACCACATAAAAGGAAATACGATCTTGCATGTGGTAATAACTGAGGACGACAGGGCCAACTTTTAAATGGATTACACTAGGTGATTGGAGCTTGTAACCCATCAAGAGAATATGTAGAGAAAGCAGTTATTGTAGGGTCAACCTGTAAATGCATGCATCTTGAGAGAGGACCATTCACATCAAACGAGATTAACAGAGCAGAATACTCTGTGTCCAGGTGGACATCCACATAAGGAAATGGAATGAAATGAGTATGGCTGAACAATTTGGACTAAAATAGGCAGCACAGTTGGTTCTAATGGCATTGGGGAAATGCATCTGGTTAAAAGATAATGCTAGCAGACTCGAAGAGAAGAGTGACCAAAAGAATGGAATCACCAAAATAAAAAAAAGTACCAAAAAAAAAATAATAATAATAATAATAAAAATGGAGCAAGGCTAAGTACAGAATGTAGCGAATAGAGAGGAAACCAATAGAACTCAGAATCAGTAATGATATGGGGCATGAAATATTCTGTGCATGGTATGCGACTTTAAAAGGAATGGGATGGGCTAGAACAAGGTGTAGCAGAATATTTACAGATTTGCTGAATTTCTTTATGCAAAGAGTTTTACCGCCCTCTATTCACAGAAAATCCCTCAAGCAGCCCTATTTAACAAACGTAAATATCTTTCTCTTGCTTATCAACTCCACAACTTTGTTAATACATGTTCATAACAAAAATTAAGCAGTCCCATATCGCCTGAACAGGTAAAAAATCTAGAAGATCTCTTGGGAGAAATTATGATTTTTATTTCTGTTTCCAGCAAACCATAAAATTCAATTGTACCAATGGTGACACCTGAATGCATAATTGCACGTGTACATGCATATGCATACACATTAATAAATAATATATCAACGTATATGTGAAATATGATCCAGTAGGAGTGAGATAAATTAGGCGACATACAGAAAGAGCAAACTTGTTTCAAAGCTGACACCCCTTTGTCTGTACGCCCAGCGACTACAACACAGCCTTCTATTGGTAAATTCTTTTCCTTTAGCAGCTGAGCTTTCTTCTCATCAACAAATTTCCCAAGAGATTTCTCAATCCATCTGCAAAAGACAAAGATTAGATGAATTTTTAGTGAGGTACCAACAAAATTTAAGAGCTATGCATTAAAATGAATAATAATTATTTATGTAGGTATTCTCCATTCACCAACAGAAGGAGAAACCACAAGTTCTTGGATAAAAGATTTTGAGTGATTTCCACCTAGTCTTTTCATTATAAGTAAATTAACTCTACTATTTTTTCAATTTTTATTGCCACGAAGATATTTGATGAAAGGGCTAGGGGTATAAGCCCATGCATAAAATTAGAAAAGTACCCGCTAGTAAAAACAGAACTCAGCAGTGCAGTACTTTTTAGTATTCAGCATTATTCTGTCTAACGAGTAATAGAGAATATATTAAAACAGCACCAGAAATGCAATCATGCAAATAAGTTTCCTTACAAACATTGTTCCATATTAAAAATGTTCTCCAAGATTACTAAGAAATATAACTCACATCATAACCACGTCAAAGAATATTCTTTGTAACAAAAAACGTTATATAGTTTCCCTCCTTATCTTAAAAGAGAAAATGTGAGGTTTACTTGTCATTTTTGTCACATAGGTTTTCACACAAAACTGGTTTGAAACTGGTTTAACAACAGTAAATTCTTCTATTCAATGATGATGTAGCATTATTTTCACACGCCATTTCACCATTTTGACACATCGTTTCACTGTGATGTCACCTCCACTACACTATTTCTCCAATTTCATATACTACTTCACTTGATTAAAGACAATACCATATATTATATAATAAATAAACAAAATTAAATATAAAGATTATTTTAAAAAAATGTGGATAAAAATAGAAAAAAATTATTAAAAAGTTTTTAAATAAATTTAAAACGATTTAAAGAAAAAATAAATATTATTTAATTCAAATTTAACAAATGCCTTTGTATCATAAGGAATGTATAAAGATTATTTTATTAAACCAAATTAAATAAATAAAATAAAGAAAGTTACAAAAATTAAATAAATAAATATAAATATTATTTAATTAATTAAATTTTAAAAAAGTAAAAAATCTCTCCGTGGACGGAGAGAATCTCTCCATCCACAGAGAGAATCTCTGCTTTTAAAAGGAGAGTTTTCTCCTTCTGACTTTTCAAAATGAGAGAACTCTCCTTTTACACATAGTAATAACACTCCGTGCATGGAGTGATTCCACTCCATGCACAAAGTGGTGATTTTGTTTAAAAAATTTTATTTATAGTAATTTTTTATTAATAAATATTTAATTTTAAAAAAATTCCTCCAAATCTTAAAAGAGAGAATGTGAAATTTACTGTTCATTTTATTAGTGATAATATTTTTCATAAAAGTCATTCTTTATTTCTAAAATCTAAAAAGTTAATTATAACTAAAAAGATCATTTCAAGTTATTTAAAAGTAAAACGAACTTATAATTACAAAAGTTACTTATAAGTAAAAAATATTAACTTCAAAATTTTTAAGCATAAATATTAGATATATTTAGTTTTTTAAACTAAATATTAATAAAAAGATCACTATCTAGAATGTAAAAAGTTACTTATACTTCAAGTTATTTAAAAGTAAAACGAACTTATAATTACAAAAGTTACTTATAAGTAAAAAATATTAACTTCAAAATTTTTAAGCATAAATATTAGATATATTTAGTTTTTTAAACTAAATATTAATAAAAAGATCACTATCTAGAATGTAAAAAGTTACTTATAGATAAAAAAAAAAAAACACTTCAAGTTATTTAAAAGTAACAACAAAAACTTATAATTGTAAAAGTTACTTATAGATAAAAAAATATTAGCTTTAACATTTTTAAGTAAATATTTAGATATATTTAATTTTTTAAATTACATATTAATAAAAATTACTATAATATAAAAAAAAAAGTTAACGCCGTGCACGGAGTGGTCATCAGGTGCATGGAGTGATTTTTTCACTCCATGCATATGTTTTTTTGTATATATATTAATTTTTTTATTAATATTTGATTTAAATATATCTAAATATTTACTTAAAAATGTTGAAGTTAATATTTTTTTATCAATAAGTAGCATTTACAAATATAAGTTTTTGTATTACTTTTAAATAATTTGAAGTTATTTTTTTACTTATAAGTAACTTTTTACATTCTAGATAGTGTAATCTTTTTATTAATGTTTAATTTAAAAAACTAAATATATCTAAATATTTATACTCAAAAAATTTTAAGTTAATATTTTTTTACTTATAAAAAACCTTTGCAATTATAAGAGAATGAGGGATTAATATTTTTTTTTACCTATAAATAGCTTTTACAATTATAAGTTTTTTATTACTTTTAAATAAATTGAAGTGCTTTTTTTACTTATAAGTAATTTTTATATTCTAGATAGTATAATATTTGTATTAATATTTAATTTAAAAAACTAAGTATATCTAAATATTTATACTTAAAAAATTTAAGTTAAAATTTTTTTTACTTATAAGTAACTTTTACAATTATAAGTTTGTTTTACTTTTAATAACTTGAAGTGATCTTTTTAGTTATAAGTATTTTTTTACATTTTAGAAATAAAGAATAACTTTTATGTAAAAAATTATTTAAAAAAATATTATTACTAATAAAAATATAGGATATGATCGATAGTTGATAGCGTGAGAAAATGGAGAAAGAATACTTGTGTCAGATTCAAAGCATGTAAGCTGCAAGTAAAATAGAAAACGACGTCGTTTCCACTCCACCAATTAAAAAAAAAAAGCTACAATGTGATAAAATATTATTTAAAAAAATATTACTACTAATAAAATTATAGAATATGATTGATAGTTCATAGCGTGAGAAAATGGAGAAAGAGTATTGTGTGTCAAATTCAAAGCTGGACGGTTCACTTTTGTCACATGCGTTTTCACATTCAACTGATTTGAAATAGGTTTGGTCAAAGTGGTTTGATTTTTTTATTATATTATCCCTCCTTATTTTACTGTTTATTTTTGTCATATTGATTTTCACATTGAACGGGTTTGAAACTGGTTTGATCCTTTAAATCTGACACACAATACTCTTTCTCCATTTTCTCACGCTATCAACTATCAACCATATCCTATAATTTTATTAATAGCAATATTTTTTTTTAAATAATATTTGAATCTCTACTTTCAAAAGGAGAGTTTTTCAAAACGAGAGAACTCTCCTTTTGCATAGAGTGATAACACTCCATGCATGGAGTGTTATCACTCCATGCACGGAGTAGTGATAATTTTTTTTTAATTTTATTTATAGTAATTTTTTATCAATAAATATTTAATTTAAAAAAAATCCCTCCACATCTTAAAAGAGAGAATGTAAAATTTAATATTCATTTTATTAGTGATAATATTTTTTACATAAAAGTTATTCTTTATTTCTAAAATGTAAAAAGTTACTTATAACTAAAAAGATCGCTTCAAGTTATTTAAAAGTAAAACGAACTTATAATTGCAAAAGTCACTTATAAGTAAAAAATATTAACTTCAAATTTTTTAAGTATAAATATTTAGCTATATTTATTTTTTAAATTAAATATTAATAAAAAGATTGCACTATCTAGAATGTAAAAAGTTATTTATAGGTAAAAAAAACTTCAAGTTACTTAAAAGTAATAACAAAAACTTATAATTGTAAAAGTTACTTATAGATAAAAAAATATTAACTTTAAAATTTTTAAGTAAATATTTAGATATAGGGTAATTAGCACAAAACGTCCCTACCTTTCATGATTTTTGTGAAAAACGTCCCTACCTTTCTTTTTTGGGGCATTTCATCCCTACCTTTACATTTTCTTGTGCAAAATATTCTTTTCATCATTTTTCTCAATAAAAGGCTATAAAATGACCAATATACCTTTCTATTTAAATTTTAAAAAAACAAAAATAAAGAACTAATTGCAATCATAGTCCCAATTTTTTAAAAAAAGTTCAAAAGACTCCCAAACAAAAATAAATGAATATTTGCACTCCCACAAGACCATTCACAGAGATTTGAAGCCGTCAAATATATTAGTAAACAATAAAATTGAAGTGAAAATTTCTGATTTTGGAGTCAGTAAAATCATGCACCAGACATTGGATCCCTGCAATTCCTACGTTGGAACCTGCGCTTATATGAGCCTGGAAAGATTCGAACCGGATACATACGGCGGCAATTACAACGGGTACATCGGTGATTTATGGAGCTTAGGATTAACTCTACTGGAACTGTTCATGGGCCATTTTCCATACTTGCCGGAGGGGCAAAGACCTGATTGGGCTACACTTATGTGTGCCATATGCTTCGGCGAACCACCAAGCTTGCCGGAAAGTGCATTTGAAAATTTCAAGAATTTCATTCAGTGTTGTTCGCAAAAGGATTCCAGTAAACGATGGAGTGCAACCCAGTTGTTATCACATCCTTTTGTGAGAGATATTGAACTGAAATCAACATGAGGAGATTAATTTTCGAGAATTATGGCCGAAAATCCGACAGTAACAGTTTGGGGAACTATTTGTATATATAAAAGCAAAATTTTCAAGATTTTATTTCTTTAGTTTTATTTGTATATTCTTTCCTTAATTTTCGAGGATTATTTACTTTTTTATTTTATTGTTTGGAACTCTTTTGAATTTTTTTTTAAAAATTGAGACTATGATTGCAATTAGTTCTTTATTTTTGTTTTTTTAAATTTAAATAGAAGGGTATATTGGTCATTTTATAGCCGTTTATTGAGAAAAATGATGAAAGGGATGTTTTGCACAAGAAAATGTAAAGGTAGGGATAAAATGCGCAAAAAAAAAGAAAGGTATGGACGTTTTCCACAAAAATCATAAAAGGTAGGGACGTTTCGTGCTAATTACCCTAAGATATATTTAATTTTTTAAATAAAATATTAATAAAAATTACTATAATATAAATAAATAAATAAAAGTTAACTCCGTGCACAGAGTGGTCATAAAAATCACTCAATACATATGTTTTTTTTTTTATAGTAATTGTTTTTATTAATATTTAATTTAAAAAAACTAAATATATCTAAATATTTACTTAAAAATGTTGAAATTAATATTTTTTTATCAATAAGTAGCTTTTACAAATACAAGTTTTTGTATTACTTTTAAATAATTTGAAGTGATTTTTTTACTTATAAGTAACTTTTTACATTCTATATAGTGTAATCTTTTTATTAATATTTAATTTAAAAAACTAAATATATCTAAATATTTATACTTTAAAAATTTTAAGTTAATATTTTTTTACATATAAATAGCTTTTGAAATTATAAGAGAATGAGGGATTAATATTTTTTTACCTATAAATAGCTTTTACAATTAAGTTTTTTTATTATTTTTAAATAACTTGAAGTGTTTTTTTACCTTATAAGTAACTTTTTATATTCTAGATAGTGTAATCTTTTTATTAATATTTAATTTAAAAATAAAAATAAAAAAATCTTAAAAGATGGGATTGGCATCACTATTCATTCATGTCACTTGAGTTTTCACACTTGCGTGATTTGTACTATTCATTAACTGGTTCATAAAATGTCCTTTAAAAGTGGGTTTTGCTCTCTCTCGCTTTCATTTCTTCATGACAAAGAAAACCTTACCACACTGATTCTCAAAATCTGAGATATTGAAACTCAGAGGGTCGAAGGAGAGATCTTGAGAAGGAAACTGTAGTATGAAGTGTATGAAGTGAGAAGACAATCTGCAGTAGTTGATTAACTGAAAGCATTGGATATGCGATTTGGACAAAAAAGATTTGGTGGTTATTGATTGTTTTTTAGTTTTCTATGTTATTTGCATTCAGCGTGTTTCATTATTGTTTAAAAATGCGAGATATCTTTAAACCTTATCTATGCTGAACTAAGAACTTCAGAAATTATGCTAGTTAATACTCTAACTTTCTTTTATTTTGCAGCTAGGGCCTCGTGAGTGTCCATATCAGTGTCTTATAAAGCGTGACCAAAAGAATGCAACATTTTACCTCTATCTTGCTCTTTCATCATGTAAGTAAACTTTTGTTGGAAGTTTCTAAGATAACTTATAAATTGAAATTTGCTTGTGTACCAAATGATATTAATTTAATCATTTTCTATCTGGTGAATTGGCTAAGTAAAACCTTGAAGTTTAACATCTATGGTTAGGGGAATCGTTCAAAATATGTTGGATTATTAGTCTTAATATCTCGTGAATAGAGACATCATATTTGATGTTTGCTAAGTATCTTGAATTGATTTGTTAATTTTTCTTCATTTCTTGCGCCGCAATGACTATTTTGAATGCCATATAGCAAACCTTAGTGACTATTTCAAATGCTATGACAAATATTTATGCTACTATTTCAAATATTGTAGCCCAACTAACATTTTAAAAGAGTCATTCATACTTTTTTTTAAAACAAATCTCATTAACTTTTATCATGTAGCTTCGATGTTCGGCTAGCATTTGAAATTGGAGCCTTTGTCCAGAGAAAAAGTCGACATGGAAGAAAAAATTGAATTCCATACTATAAATGCTTGTGGTTTGATATTTATACACTTGATTTCTAAATAGCTAGACAATTACATACTATTAATTCTAATTATAATGCAATCTATATATGTTAATAGAGTGTGATAAATGATTCTTTTATCACCTATCAATGTAAATGATGAAGGCGACACTATAACCCAACATATTTAAAACACAATAGCATTACGTTCAAAATAATCCAACCCGTGCACTGCACGGGCAAAGACTAGTCTTGTAATAAGAAACTATGTCGCCTCGACACTTTCAAAAAGTTGTGCTACTACAAGAATTATTTTGAATCCACCATTATCCCCATTATTTAGTCTTTCGTTTTACTTCTCACACATGGGAGTCAAACTCACATCACATAATGAAAAAATTCAGAATAAATGTTATGAAATGCCTAAAACATTTATCTTCTAAATCCCAACAAGGCGTACAAGAAATTGTTAAAAAGTGAACCCACTTTAAAGATGGCAATCTAAAGAATCAACACAAGATAGATGTTGTGTAAAATGAGAAAAGTAGGACTTTATCATCAGCATGATGCTAAAAGAATGCAAGGTCAACAACCAGGCAAGCATTTTGAAACATCTTCCGAGATATCTTCAGTGGTCATTACAGCAAAATGTATTGGATATAGAGATTTTTATTCCTTTTTGACAAAGAGATTTTCATAAAGTTAGGAGAGAACTTACGCTTGAACAGTGTTCAAACCAGGAGGAGAGAACTTACGCTTGAACAGTGTTCAAACCAGGCTGCTTCTGCCACCCATCAAAGGAACCTCCATGATATGACAGGACAATCTTGAACGTCACTCTTGCCCATCTTCCAGTCCGATCTCCAACTGTAACACTCGCCAATTGAGATTTATCACAATCCTCTATGATTTCAGTACCATCATGAATAGCATATGTCTGTAAAATTTCTCCTTTATAAATATAGCATGTCATTATTCATAAACTGTAGAAGAATTTTCAGTTTTTGAGAAACTACTATATAGATGCAGGGAAATTTTATGTTCAATTGTTACTTCATGAAAAATTGAAGGTAAGGGGCAGATATAAAAGGGGAAACTTGGTCTGAAGGATATTTCCCTGATTGGTTGAACACGTATAGTGATGACACCAAAGATTTGGTAATAGTATTTTACCATGCCCTTTTCATAGAATGAAATTGAATTGACTAGGGCTTTGGCTATTTCTCACCTGCCAATTAAGACAAAGAAAGTTATGATGCCAAAAGGAAGATCCACATCTTCTAAACCCACTGTATCTTCCCCCACTCGCTACTTCATTTATTTTTACAGAAGATTCTAAAGAGAACACTTGGTGGTAAACTGTTTTTACCAAATACTGGAAGGGTACTGCAGCAGTCGGACACTTCCGGACATGTTCAGCACCTTGGACATGTATTCTTCTGGATAGAAAATAATAAATCATGGTTTCAGGCACTAAGGCTATTTACGAATATGTGCATATAAACCTCCAATGTCAGCTAAGAACTTCTATATATTACACAAGTTTTAAGAGTTTTTACAACCATGATGTACCCAAAGACAAAAAGGCATGCAGACTTTATATTATTTATTTATTTATTTATGACGATTTATTTAATTTGAGTTTAAATATGTTTTGTTTAAGTGGGGTCAAAATATATCATGATAAGATTTTAGGGACTAAGGAAGCAATTTCAATTAAGTTTGGGGTTATGTCTTTAAATCATAAAACCCAAGACTGTATTAGGGAGTGTTTTGATTTGATTAAAAATAATAGCATTTTGAGATTCTCTCTTAATATTAGGTTAAAATCAATATTCAAAAGAATCAACGATTATATTGATCTAAATCAAGTATCTGTATTCGTATGTGAAAAGATGAGTCTTGATTATCATTCCCAAATTCTCTCAACAAGTTTTGATTCATTTTCTTCAATCATATTTTGCTTCATATCATTAGTTGATATCAGAGCTCAACTACTGCTTAAGATTCGTAGGTCCTAATGGCATTCGCAGTGGTACGTGATGAGAATGACAATTGTGTGGAAAAATTGTTCATGTTGACGAAATTGGCATGTATGATTCAACTATATTGATAAATGGAGATGTTGACACGACAAATCTATTGTTTATTATAGCAACGCAAAAGCGTGTTGGTCTTGGAGTCAGCAATAGAAGAGGACTCAGATGACAATAATAATCTTTTTGCCTCTATCGATCTTGAGAGGAAACATAGATGATAATTCACACACAAGAATTATAATAGGCTGCCTATTTTTTATAGAGAGGGTGATTTGGAGATTCCATGATTGAGTATATTTGTGCGGAATACACTAACATTTGTCAACACCAATTCCATGATCTATAATAAAAATGAATGGCATATCATGGGCAATCTAGACCAAGGGAGTAGTTGACCAAGATTTTCAAAAAATTTCTTTCATATAGAAGCTTTAGCGGCTGCATTTTAGGGATGCAACCCTACTATAGTATTGCAATAATAGTGAATTAAAGGAATAAAACAAATCTACAATATGGACAAACTATTAGTGTTTGTTATTATCATTAATAAATTCAAATTTTACAACAAATTCCTTGGACCACTCATCACAGATCTCGACATCAAGCTCCTCGTCAAAACTTGATAACATATTATCGTATTTGGATGCATGCGTCCTACTGGATATTTTTATACTCATTCCTATTTATCACCAATTTCATGCTTGTTCAACCTGTTTGGAGGTGTAACAAATTGGTGAAGTGATATTGCAAAGGGACTTTCTTCTTGAAAATGTGACAGTTAAGTTATTTTTCACTTTTCCTTGTCAAATTAACTAGATTTTATGAACTTGTAAGTGATGAATTTTAGATTATTTTCAGTAGCATGACTTTGAAATCTAAATGTTATATTAAGTATAATTAATCCAAAGTTTAGTAATAAGTATTAAATTTTGATTCATTACAATGTTATTTCGATGTTATGAGTTAAATAGACTTAGTAAGTCTCTAAATTTTATTTGAAATTTGGGGCATTAACATATGAAAATTCAACTTGAGTATCTCATAAATCAGAAATTTGAATTCAAATCCTAGAGGACGTGATAGAAAGTCGTGCGTAACAAGATGGACACAAGCTCGAGCATGAGCTTTTGTCATTACAATTGGCACTCAAATCTTCAACATTTTTTCCATCTTGGAACTCCAATAAATTCAAAGTCAACTCCCAGCAACTGTTTTCCTCCATGTCCAATTCATTGTTTAGGATTAAGAGCAAACATATCTTTTGTATGAATCTGACTTGTAGAATTTGCACTAGCTCAATGTTGCACTACCTAGGGCCGCCCTCTCATTGTCCACCAAAGATTGGTCCAACTCCTCAAGCTTAGGCGTGATGCACCCAAAAACCACCAACAACTCTTGTTTCAATGACATCGTAATCGTCTGTCATGTCAATAAATTGACTCAGCAACGAATGTATATCATTTCTTCTTTACGTTGTCTATCCTCTACGAAAGATTCACAAATGGGTATTTACTTATTGGATAGCATGTCATAGTATAGCTCACTCTGATATGCGGAAGCATAAAAGAATCGCTAAACACAAGATCGTAAAACCATGATTCCACAGAATAACGATTTGAATCAAAAATTCTCAAAATATAACCATTTGAGTAAACAAAGAGAATTCTTCCACACAACTGTGGAAGCATAAATAAAAGAGAACAAAACCAAATTCTCAATCTTATTGACAAATGCATTTGTTGGTCCCTCAGTTCTTAATAAATAGTAAAAGAAACTTATAATTAATAATAAAAAGATGATAAAAATAACAAAGCATTAAAATAAAGATAGCTGGTTCCATCTTCATCACCTTGTCAGGTGCAACACGACTTAAAACCTGATGTGTATGGACCCTAAAGAGGTAAAGACAACTCAAGAAAGACCTGCTACATTTGACTAGCAATGTAATAAAATGTGAATCCAAAGTAAAGACCTTCTAGATTGGACTCCCCAGGTCCTTAATTTTGATTCACAAGTACAATGCTAAGATCCACATCTATTTTTTATCTGTACTTATAATTTATATAAATCTATATAGTATCCACCTAATCATCAATTTCTCAAATATATTCAATGATATACTCCCAGACATAAATAAAGATAAGATGCACAATTGTTACACAATTCAGAGCTGCCACCTATTTTCAGTGTTTGCTCCAATATAATACGGCCATTTACTTGGAAAGAAAATATTATTCATGGTCTCTAAGGTTTGTTTCACAATCATGGTTGGTTTGTGTCTTTCAGAAGGTCATTGTGCACAGATCTCAGTTTTATGTTCAGCCTCTGTGATAAATTCAGCACCACCCTATAAACACTTCAGTCTCATATTTCGAGCAACTAATAATCTTTGATATGGGTGCCTTTACATCTCACAAATTTGAATATAGAATTAAGCCATTCCATGTCTACAGTTTAATAGAGAAACTGACCATCTCCTTGAAACACGGAATAGTAAAAGTTGAGAATAAAAAAATTTAAGGATGGAAGATAAGAAAATCTATAACCTCTTCAAGCTCTTATCATGTTTGCTTAAAAATAATATGGTTCGAGCACGTAGTATATATGTAGCAATATGAATTTTATATGCCATTTGTTACTTCTTAGGACAATCAAAGAGTACACATTAATGCTCTGTTTGAGTAAAATTATCTATAATTTTTTAGGAGAAATAGTAATGGGTACCACGGATTGTGTGGATAATAAATGTTTAGCAGTAATAAATGTGTGATGGAAATTAATATTTGACTTTGATTCGACCGAAAAAATGAATTTTTTAGTAACTTTTAGTAAAGCCATACAGAAGGCTAAGCATTTTTCACTTTTTTAAAAAAAATCAATAATGCCAACAACATTGCTCCTATTTACAGAAATAAGCAAACTACAATCAATCAAAAAGTTGAGAACCAAACGTCTTAATCAAATCAACAAAGATGAATATCAAAAGAAATAGAAACAACCAAAATTGACTGGGAATCCAAAAATTAGAAATATTACTAAACACCCACCTCCTTCCCAAACAATTCTGACAGTGAGATGCAACCTTTCACCATGTATGAGTAAAAATCATTAACTTTTTGCCATGGCCTTGCAGACATGAACTGATAACATTCCCTGCCAAAAGAAATTCTGCACATAAGCACTAAGACACTTTGAAAACACATCTTTTGTGTGTATGCTTACAATATAGAGACATATACATTACACAACAATATTATTCTTTCATATAGCATAGAAAGCACCATTATTTAAACCATCCCAAAACCCAATCCCTTTCGAGAATCTAAAGAAAAGAATAGAGAATCTGGACTTGTGGCGTATGTATAAATTTACTTGGCAGTCCATCGAGTATGCCTGCAAGCATCAGTGTGGTTGTAGGGGTTGTAATCCTTCTTCTTCAGAGCTGGGCTTCCCATCGGATTGCTCGGATTTAGCCCCACCATTCTATTGCTTGGGTACTTTATCATAACCTGAACCTTTGACACTAGTGACTGTTGTTAAGGTAACTGAGAGAGGACGGACGTTTGAAATTTGTATTAGGGCTTCTTGGATGAAAAATTTGCTCTGTCAAAATCCAATTTTAGCCGTCCAGTGCAGCCAAATGACATTGACCGCCACAATTTGAGTTAAATGTTTTGTTAGCCATCGAACTTTACACCATGTCACGGCTCACTCACCAAACTTACAAAATTGTCCCGTTGGCCACTGAATTTCACTCCGTCCAACTCCATCACTCACCCATTTAAATCCGTTAACAGACTCACCTACGTGGATGACGAAAATCCGACTTGGCCAGTTAGATTCGTCCAAATATGAACTGAATTTCCAACTCAGCTTCAATTTAGCACTGTCAAACATGCCTTTTCTATATAATTGGAATCAAGCTTTGATTTAACTCCCACAACATGCGTCTCTTACAGATTTCAGAGAGAGAAAAACATGTGAAGTGAAATAATGAAATTTCCAAGTTGAAGGCGATTTCGAAACCCTAAGCCCCAAATCATGGATATCAAATACCCAACCATCGTTCATTGTTGGACGAGCCTAACCGAAGAGTGGAGAAGCAACACCCATTTCATTTCATTACATTGACGGCGGCGGAGTAGTGGGCGTGTTGATGGACAGAGATCGCGAAGGTAATTGAGTAATTCTTTTTTTTTTTTTTTTTGGAAGAGGTCATAGACTTGCTAAAGATAATGTAGATAAATATAATTTTTCGTTATCTAAAGTTCTTGTAGTTGATTGTGTGAGTATTTTATTTTCCCACATTTTACCAACTCTGTCTTCGTAATGGCCACGATCTATTGTTCCCCATTTTTTATGTTCTTTATGTCCAGAATCATATGTATGTGTAGTTCATTACATACCATTGTCATGTTTACATTGGCTAGTCTATTGTTCCCGTTTGTCTTCTACATGTGCTGTTCTTTAATGTGGCTTAATTGCATGATAGATTGTGAAGAAGATCCGGACTTCGTAGATTCCAACCACAACTTGGAGTCCGAACAAGACAATATTGAATATGATAGACATGTAACTGAGGGGATGGAAATTGGAATGGACGATCATGAAAATGAAGTTGTGCAGGACCAACGAAAAGAGGACAGAAATAACGAGTTGGATGAATTGGAACTACCATCGTCAGAGGAACTACTTTCCCAATGTTCATCCGATGAGGATGGTGGCTACCATTTTCCTGAATTCTCTATTGACTAGCACATGAAAAAATCGCAATTCGAGGTAAGGCAAATATTCAGTTCCGTAGTAGAGTTTCGGGAGGTGGTGCAATTGTATGTTGCATTAAATGGTTACAATGTAAAGTTTAAGGCAAACGACGAAAGACGAGTGCAAGGAGTTTGCAAATTGGGTTGCAAACGGAGAATGGGCTTCTAAATTTGATGTATCCGAGAGGTTGCAAGTAAACTCTTACACTTCGGAGCATACTTAGAGTCGGGACTAGTTTAATAGACATTGCAATTACATATTTTTTGACGCATCAGTATATCGAGCAATTTAAGGCGAACCCAGATTGGAAAACTAAGCTTATTTTGGAAACAGTGAAGAAGGATCTCCACACGGACATTAGCAGAAAAGTAGCATGGAAGATACGGAGATATGCCAAAGAAGTGTTATTGGGAAATTTGGAAGAGCGTTTAGG